ACTGTTTTATTTACACTGAGGGTAAAATTAGGTTCATAGGTTAAAAAAAGAAGTCTCCTGTGGTCTGTGTATTTATTGTTGACATCTTTATTCACATTTCGGTACTTCCTCACCTGGACACATGTTGTTTTAGACTTTGATAGTTCTCACTCAGGTAGCGTTACATGCACCGTGTCAGCCTTGAGCAGAAAAACTGACATCATACTTTCACAAGAAAGACAGCGATAACATGCAGCGCAACATATGTGGCGGTAAACCTGCATATCTTAGAGATAGTAGTTTGGTTAACCACATGCATTTAAAGCACAAAGTGAAACCAGAGGAGACCGATCACAGGCACTTTCACATCACCTCATGTGCTAGCCCCTGTTAGCACGTCCCTGTGATGATACCAGAGTGGAGAAGATTAGCCTGCTAGAAATGAAAATGTTGACTGGAGATATGCCCCTGTTAAGTTTTTCTGATGGTGTATCTATGGCCAGAGTACAAGCCACCATCATGGTGAACAGCAGCTACGAGAGTGGAAAAGAGGTATGAGGAAAGCGCAGCAGAAAAGAGAAAGTTCTCACTGCAGAGTCGTACGTTACCATCACCCGTCATTTCATTCAGAAGTGGGATTTGAAGAGTGCTGTCAGAAACACAGCGCTGATGAGAGACACGCGGACGAAAACATAAGAGAGCACCATGTTGGACTTGTTTTTTAATTGGGTCCGATTACTTGGTCGTGAGGTAATTGAAATGACTGAAAATGCCCATCACTAGAATGTGCTGCACAAAAAGTTGAGAGCGTTGGCCCCGCCCCTAAATGAACTGAAGTGAGAGCTGTTAAGAACCAGAGTCTATAAGCGGAATCTGAATCCAAATCCTTGAAGTCCAAACTGTAAACAACCTGAGAGATCGAGCACTTTGCACAAACGTCGGTGTCTGGAGACTTTTTTTTCTGTGTTGTATGTTCTGACTCTGATTCTGTGATTGTGTTCCTGGTGACCACAGAGCAGCGAGCCGGTGAAGGAGCTGTACACCCAGCTGACAGAGAAGCTGGAGGCCCAAAAGAAGAGCCCTCCACCCCCGGAGGAAACCCCATCCCTTGATCTGGGACTGCACCCAGTGACCGTCCCCACCACTGCCTCCACCCCGACCACGCCTCTCTGAGACATCAGCAGTGACTGTAAAGACAGCCAACAGCTGGCTCGTGCATTTCTCAACAAAAAAAAAAAAAGAAAAAACACCGGACATTTTTTTGTACTGTATGTTTTGTTGTATGAAGCTGTTTTTTTTTTTCTATATCACATCTTTTGATGTTCCTCTTTCCAGCTCTGACTGTATAGACCAGCAGTCATCTAGATTTCTTCATGAACCTTTGCATTGAATATTGGAACAGTGTTATTTTTGAGTTATCAGTAGTTCAACAGAAATGTAAATAAATGCGTATTCAGAAAAAAACCAAATTGGTGTTGCTGTGTTTCATAAAAAAAAATGACAAAACGCAGTTTCACTTCTACAACACTTCTTCATCTACTCTGTTTAAATTATGTCACCTGCCACTGATCTGCTTCCTACAGACCACACTGTTCGTCCTCTTGCAGCCACACAGGCAGAAAGTGTAAAACAGGAACAGTCGGTCTGCGTTTTAACATTTTCACAACAGCTTCAACACTGCTGGTAAGAATAACTTCTCTAAGTCTTCTCCATCGTCAAACTATACTTTTATTTAATAACATTTTAGCTGAGATATACAAAAGATATGCAAACCTCAAATACTGATCTTGATGATACCGTTTGGAGTTAAAGGAAACTTGAATTATTGAAAATGTTTGAAGGTATTGTGTTACCATACTCAGTGATTCTCACATAAAGATGTTAATCTAGATGTGATCCGAAGGTATACTAGCACTCATTTGAGCTTTTATTCAATTTTATAGAGATTGGCACCATTAACTAGAGGATTAAACCTTCTTTCTCTTTTTTTTACCTCTTGATAAATGCAGTCAGCAGATTAAATTTGTTTGTGATTAAACTAAATCATGTGAATTAAGTAGAAAACACTTACACTTTTTATGAGCGTCACGTTCTTGTGTTGGCTCTTTTGCCTTAACTTTTTTTTGATTGATATTAATTTCCTCATGAATATTTATGATTTTTGCTTATTTTTATTACTATAAGTAATACTTGAGCTGTTTTTGTCCATGTTTAAAAGAAAATAAAGAACGGCCACAGGGGAGGGGGAGAAAGTTTTGGGGTGGGGTGGAGGCTGTTTGGCCACTGTGTGGTTGTATGTTTGTACACTGTAGTTGAATCAGTCCCCGGATTGTTCAATTTAATGTAAATAAAAACAATGTTTAAAAAAAAAAAAAAAACATTGAGTAGAATAAAAAAGCTATTCAGCTAAAACATTTTCTAAAATGTGTTCAGTGGACAAAAGTCCCCAAAAGATTTGCAGTCCATTCTGTGGGAAACACTTGAGCTGCGTTTAAGTGGCAGGAAATCTCACCAAGCATGAGTGAGGTAAAGAGATGCGTGTCTAAATTCATGCCCTGCATTTGAAACCACAAGTACTTCTCTTAGTTCCTCCACAAAAACTAGTTTCACGTTTCAGGTCATGTTTCTTTAAAGGTTTGGGAGGTGTGAGAGAAAAAGAGAAAGCCAAGGTTTATGTTACGTTCCCCGTAGTTCTAGGGGATGCGGGGAACAACAAATTTATATTTACCAGGAATCAAGGTGGAGACCAGAGTTCGGTTTCAAAATAATAATCGCTGTATTTAATGGTACAGGAAACACACAAGAAATGACCAGCTTTAGGTGCACCCACAAAGGGTACACGAATCTATGAACAGCTGTAACGGAGACGACCTGGCACGCCAGCAGCCTGCGTCACACGGATATGACTCTGTCTTCCTTCCTCCCCTCTGCAGCCTGCACCCCGTGCCTTTTATTCATCGGCTGCATACGTACACAGGTGATTCCACTTCTCCATCAGTCTCCCCAAGAGATGGGCGGAGCACCAACCTGTCCTGGAACTCAGAGAGGGAGGGGACACACACACAGACAACACAACCCATAACAGTTTAGACAAAAGGGGTGGTCTTATTGGAAAGCCTGGGCTGCAATATGAAGTCATTATTGTTGTATTCCTGCTTAATCGGGAAATCGTATTCAATGTTGTTCATGCTTTTCTAATCACTGTAAACAACAGCACAAGAAAACAAAAATGTTCTTACCCTCCATCTCTCTTTTCCATGCTCACATTTTATTTGTAGCTGCAGCCTTGATGTAGCTGTATAAAGTTGCATAACTGCAACAAGTTAACAGAATTAAGTATTTCAAATTCTGCTGGAGGGCATAGAAATTATATGCTGTTTTGGGCTTTCCAATAATGAAAGTGATGGTGAGGGGCCCCTCTTTTAGTCCGTCTTCGCCCCGTTCTGCTCTCTGAGCCAGCCTCAACTGGACACCCAAGGGACTGCAGTTTTTTTTTGCACTTGCACGTTGGCTTCATTTGTCAACACTAGAGGTTGCTGCTTGGTTAAAACTACAGGGACGTTCAAACTGATGGTAACTTTAAAGCTCTTGTATGCAACTTTTAAGATTTCTTTTTGGGCTTTTTGTGACTTTACTGAAGAGGTAGGACAGTGTAAAGCGTCGGAAATCATGGAGCAAGAGAATTTGGGAATGACATGCGGGAAAGAAGCCACTAGAGTGTTTTAAACACATGAACACACAAAAAAAGGGAAATGCTGGTGCGTTGAAGTGTCTGACTTGAGCTGAAGAGTGTGGTGTCTCTGGCTCCTATAGACAACACCACAAACACAGTTGATTACAGGCCACAGAGACTCCCTGACTGGTTAAAATAGATTGTACATGATGTGAACCATATCTTATGTACCTTCACAGTAGATCTTGATTTAACTAAACACTTTTAGTGTGCACTTTTAGACATTCGAGCACACACTCTTTAAAGAGTATCTGTCACCAAATCTAAAAAATATATTTTTATTACTCAGAGTCTGTTCATTACACTTCAACAACCTAACAATGAAACATTTAATCTGACTTTATCTTTATTTGTGTCAAAACTTTTTTGAAGTTCAGTGGAACTTGGTTTTCTTCAGCTGATACATACTGGCAGTCTGAATGTAGATATGGCTAAAACCATTAAATACTTGATGAGAATAAAAACAGCCTGCAGTATGTATTTTTAGACATAACGAGAACAAATACATCAGAACAGGAAGTGAGACTATATGCTGTATGATGTACCCAGCAGGATGTGAATATAGGTATAACATTGAGTATCATTACACATTGGATCATACTGATGTAAGATGGAGAATGTCGTCCCCCGCTCTCTCTTCCCAACATTTCCCATCTCTTTTCAGATGTCCTATGTAAAAAAGGCTAAAGTGGAGGGGAAAAAAAAAAAATCTTAACTGGTCTGTACGTCTCATTTTGTGTTTTGCAAAATAACGTGTATAGTTAAATGTTTATTAACCCAGAGAGGCAAATATTTCAGAAATTTTTAATTATAAGAGAAAACGCTGTATGGATGAAGGTCTGTGATTCCACACCAATGGGAAAGTGATGAGCATGCTGTTATGTAAAATAATAATTATATAGGCCTACCTATAAAAAGGTCACTTTTGTATCTTTTTATATAAAAGACCTATATGATTCGACATGTTGGTCAGTTGTTGTTTTTTGGTGACTTATACATGACTGAGAATGACATATGATATTACTCTATTTGAATCCACTGCAACATTTCTGATTTTGTGTTTGGATCATCATTTATTATTTGGGACCTTTTAGTGTCCCCTGAACTGGAGATTATGACTTGATTAAGTCATTAAGAATTGCCTCTTAGGATTTCAGTAGATTACTTTTGTTTGTTTGATGCATGTGCTCTCAACCAGAATCAGAGCTGATGTCATAATGATGATTAGTTGCAGGCTTGTAGCCACTTCCTATTTAAGATGTCTCGCCCACTTCAACAAACTGTTTGCCTGACGAAGGTCACATTGTCTAATTTGAATTGCACATGACAGTCAGACATCACTTTATATTGTCACTCGCTCTGCATTTGACAGGTTTATTTTGTGGCTTTTTATGCTTTAATGTAGAGCTAGGACAGTGGATAGAATAAAAAAATTGAGGAGAGAGAGAGAGGGGGAATGACATGCGGGAAAGGTGTCACAGGTTGGAATTGAACGCCGGCCGCCCACCCAGAGGACTATGGCCACCGCACCGTTCTTTTTCAACCTCCTTCTTAAATTGCTATAGATCTCTGGTCTGCATTTGTTGAAAACTTTGTTATGTATTAACCATAACTATAGCAATAAATCTCAACTACACTTAAATGTCGTAAAAGGGTAGCAATACAGGGTCAGACCTCCCTGACTTGTAGCTGGACAAAGTGTTTCATATTCACATCTACTTGTGCTACTGCTAGCTAATGTTAGCATTCCTGGCACAGTTTCGCCAGGCTGTCTCTCCAGGGGAGATTTGTTTTTCTGCTGTTGAACTAAATTGCTTTTCTACAAAGCATATACAGGCAGACTTTCGTGAAGGTTTCCTCCTTTCATAGCTGGCCCACTACTTGATGTTCGAGGACTGTCGATCACATTGCTGAGGTTATGAACATGTTGTTTTCTCCTTGTATGCCACCAAAGACTAACGTTACTAAAGGTCAATGAGTTTCACAGGACTAAAGAGACTGAGCAGAGTAGGAAGAAAACAGCAGTAAATCTAGAATCCAGCCATTGACTGGTTTGTTATACATTCCCACTTACCTGATGTGGACTGGTCAATCTTTAAACCCTATGTATATTTAAAAAAATATATTTGTAGAGACGGATCTGAGAAAATATTAACAGGTGAGTCATTTGGACTGGTTAGACCAATGAAGACCTCTAGGGAGCACATAAGGAATTGTTTGAAAGTGGTCTATTGCTATTGAATACAATTCCTTTTTTTTTGTTTTCCCACAGGTGTCAGAAACCAGAAGATCTGTGAGAAGATGGAGCCTCAGGTGGATTCCTCTCAGCATGGGAACAGCAGTGATGACTCAGAATCTTGCCTTGGTGAGAGCCAGCATGTGTCCATCCCCTGCCTCATGTGCCTGGTCTTCCTCCTCAGCTTCCTCCTCAACACCTTCAGCCTCTGGGTCTTCTGCTGTCGGATGCCCAGCTGGACCGCTGGGACCACCTTGCAGTTCCACCTGGCCGTCAGCGACGCCATCGCTATCCCTGTCACTCCCATGATGGCGGTGTACTTTGCGATGGGCAACAATTGGCCCTTTGGTCGCTTCCTGTGCCAGGTCAAGATCGCTTTGCTGAGTTCTCACATCTACGGCAGCACCGTGTTCCTCACTCTCATCAGCTTCCATCGATATGCAGCCGTGGTGCACTACAACAGAAGCTCCTGCATCAAACAGAAGCAGTTTGTCAGGAAGCTGTGTGCAGGAGTGTGGTGTGCGCTTCTCATCCAGTCTCTGATCTACGCTTTCGTGCTTCCTCTGAGTAACAACAATCAATGCCTCTCCATCCACCAGAAGAACCTGACTGACTCCTACTTTCTCATCAACTTCATCCTTCTTATCTTTGGCTTTCTCTTCCCGTTCCTCATGTCGGCTGTTTGCTACGGCCGACTGGCTAACACCTTAACTCGCCTCAACATCAGCACAGCGAAAGGCCTGAGAGTGAAGGAGAAGTCTCAGAGGATGATCGGCATGTGTCTGCTCATATTCGGGCTGTGCTTCCTGCCTCTGAACGTGATGCGAACCATCGCAGTGGTTCTAAAGAAATACTTCCCACAACATTGCTATGTTCTCCTGAAGGTGGAGACAGCATATTATGCATCCTGGATTTTGATAGGAGTGAACAGCTGCCTGGATCCACTGTTGTACTGTTTTGGCTCACAAAAATTCCTCGATGCATCCCGGTCTTTAAGGATTGGCCAGCGAGACAGTCCCAACAGAAGTGATTCAGAAAATACTCAAAATCAGTAACATTTAAATGAACATTTAAGGGCTAGCTGTGCTGTGTATCTCTTTTCCCTAACACCTTATATTAAAGTACCACTGCTCTGCTTCCAGCTCCAGGCCTGTATTTATAAGAACGGCTTGAAAGTTTGCTTTCTTCTTGAGAATTAAAAGCAAAGACCGATAACACTCTGATGTCTGTGAGATTAATGTGAAACTACATTTAGCTGCAGGTTGGTGTAGCATTAAAACTAAAAGCAGGGGGACAAACACAATTCACCAACACCACAAAAGCCCACTTACTAGCATAGAAGAGGATGTCTTGGCCTATAGTTCCTCAGGTTAACTGTGCAGAAAAAACAGGTATATCTGTTTCTGGAGATAAACAAATCATCAGAATACGGTTGATGGGTGCTTGTAAGTAATAAGAGCAGATAACCATCTGCACTTTTTTTTTGCTGACTTCTTTTCCTATAAACACCAAAGACTGCTGGTACATGGTCGACACATCTCTGTGCTACAAATGGAAACCAAAAAATACTGTAAATGTAGAAAGTCAAGTGCAGATTTTACATTTCTTTGAAGAATATGTAGATAGAGAATAGGCTACTTAACAACAAATGTCTGTCTCCTGCGGCTCTACAGATGAATCATGAGATCACCAATGCTGCAGCAAACAGCCCTTATATTACATAACAGACTAAAAAATATAAAAACAGATTATGAATGAATTGAAGTTTGTATATTTAGAAAGGGGCGTTTTCCTTCACCATAATGACGTGGGGATAAATCAGCCCATCAGTGGTGGTCAGGATTTAAAGTTCAGAGCCCGCCCAGTCTGAGACAAGACTGAGTAAAAATGCTTTTGATTTCGAGACCAAGATCTTCAAAAAGTGGACTCAAAACCGGTCTTGAGATCATATCGAGTACTACAACAATATCATTCACATTATGGCCATGGGGTGAGTTTGTTCTTACTTTAACAAATTGGAAAACATTCTCATGAAAGATGTAAATGCAATTTGAAAGGAATGCAGATCTCCCTCTGTTTCATCCACCAGAACATGTGTGACATTTGATGATTTTGTCAACTGAATTGTTGTATTTTAAACTCTTTTTCTTTGGACACACTTGGCAACAAAAGAGGAGCAGTTCCATATTAATCTTCAAGGAAGTAAAGAGATTTTAAAGACGTTTTGATTGATTAATTTGTTTGTGCCTTTAAATCCAACTAGACAGAGAATAGACTTGGAAACCAGGGAGAGAGAGATTGGGGAGAACGTGCAGGAAGAGGGCCAAAGGTCGACCTAAACCCGGGCTGCCCGCTTGGAGGACCACAGCCTCCGTGCATGCTTGGGGCGCCACAAATCCACTCGGCCGTGATTTGTGATAAAAGAAGTGATAAAACTTCTATAAAGAAACAGGAAGTTCTTCTGTTGCTTTATTTTCAAAGTAAAACAAAAGAGAGACCTTGTGTTTGGTTATAAATATGCTTGAACCACACACAAAAAAACGATGTTTATAAAGATTTTGTATGCCATTTGTTTGCTTTCTTTAAACCCCCCCTTCTCTTCAACCCAGGAGCGCACGAGCGCCCGGGGCGGGGCCGGAGCGTCGTCAACGTGCTCGTTGTTAGGGCTGAGCGCACAGGTGAGCTGAGCTTCAGTCTCGCTGTGTGGATCAGGGGAAACATGGGGAAACTTCAAGAGTTTGAGATCACGTTTGACAAAAACAAAGAGGTGTACAGTGCGGGAGAGTCGATCTCTGGAACCGTGAAGATAAAGCTGGCTCATGCTCTGCTGTGTAAAGGTAAGAGAGGACTCACATCGGGAACATTTGTACACCTGGTGGGAAAAAGGCGCCGTCGCTAACAAGGAAGTGAGAGGTTTAACCTCGGAGGTTGCATAATGTGTAATTCAGGCCTTTCCCGCTGTGAGTTAAGTCTGGACATATTCTAAAAGAACATGAATGTTGGTTCTGATGGATTTTAAGAGGACATGCTGTATCTCACAGTCCTGCTGATTGATTGACTCCGGATTTCAGGGTTCTGCTCAGTAATAGTCTTCTCTCATAAATAGTCCTGGTTATAGCTCTTTGACAGTTCATGTCTTCAATTAATCACACAACCAATAAAATGACCATGTGCTTTAATTGATCTTGGAAAAAAAAACGTTTTAACCATGTGGAGATGGAGGCATTATCAGTCACTGACTTTGCACATTATCAGAAGTTAAAATAAAGTGTGGTTAATGATCTTGTACTGAAGACTGATCCCGTCAGAGAAATATTTAAAATGTCAAAATATATAGACAAAAGCAATTAAATTTAGTCATAGTCATGAAGTAAGATGCTTTAATGAAAGTAAATAGCATAATGTGTAAACAATTCAATTCAATTCAATTCAAAAAAACTTTATTTGTCCCCAGGGGGCAATTCAAATGTGAGAACATAGTTAACATGTGAGTACATAGTTAACATGTGAGTGTGCACATGACGGGAACAATTAGGTATCTGTTGCTTTTTACACATGAAGACGAACACACCTGTTTGTCTATTTATAAACTTTTGTACATCCACTTAATGCTAAAATCTGAACATAGAAATTACTTTAATACAGCTTCTAGCTTTTTTTTTAGGTCATATCGTTTTCAGGCTGTTGTATTCTTTTTATTATTCTTCAGTGTTTGAGTAGTCCTATTAGTGCGTGTGTTTGTGTGTGGCTGTTTGCAAAGTTTTGCCATCACCAGGGACAGTGGGGGTCCCACAGGCTCTGGCACCTTTGGGACCCCCTGATTTACTCCTCCAAAATCTTTGAGGTTAATTCATCCTCTACGACTTAGAGATGTCTTAGGATGAATAGAAAAATAATGGAACCAACCTATAAAACAATACTAATACAGGATGAGTCATTCCATAAAGCTTAATCAATATAATCCCCATCCGCCAAACAATGTGAAGGAAGCCCTAAATTCACAGACAACATTAGCACTGATTGGCTGTATGGCAGCCCTGCGACATGTAACAGGAGTCTGTATCTCTTTGTCAGAGTTATCCCTGCATGCCTCTGTGGTCAGCTGATGTGCAGTCTGAGGTCTTTAGTCGTTGTTTATTTAATGTAGCCTACTGTATTCAGTGTATTGTGTAGTGATGCTCTTTGTGAGCGGTCAGAAGGACGTTGGAGCCAGTTTATTTTGAGTCACAACACAGGATCAGATAGCAGACAGGTGTTTGCTGACAACAGCTCTTAGTGGGACAAAAGGACAAAAGGTTTATGTGTTTGACAGGCATGGATTAAGACTAGTATTACACTGATTTTCTCAACTTATTCTTTTTGCTATTAAACCCCACAAACCAAGATTCTTGAGGGGACTTAGTGCATAGTGCATGTTGTGTCCCACCGATGACTGTCCAAAGATGAAAAAGAACAGATTTTCTGTGAAGTAAGAAAAGGAAAAGCAACAACTTCTCCTCTTTGAAGTCACAATTATTAAATCATTCAAACTATTAATCTGTTAACTAAACTGTTCCCAACTCAGACAGAATTTTTCCAGTTAAAGACTGTTCAACGAGAGGCTACAACCATCTATTCTAATATTTTTGAGTTAAGTACAAAAATCATTTAATGACTGGGCTAAAGAAAGCAAGCTGGTAATGATAATCTCTACAATCACTATAAACTATTGTTTTTAATGTTTATTCCAGCAGAAGAAGGATTCTATAATTAGTTTGCAGAAAACAGTTGCAGCTCGGCTCACAGCCCCCCAACTGAGCTGCAGAGCCTCAGTGGAGCACAGATTCTATATGATGTGAAACAGCTTTTTATTCAGTGTTTCACAGGTTGAAATACCAGATGTGTTTTTTATCAAGAGGAGGAAACCTCTGTGTTTAACTCAGCTCCCTCTACAAACAATGACTGGTCATATTAAGTCTTGTTTCATATGGTTTACAGCATGTCATGTTGTTACTAATATGTCCAAAGAGTCATCTATCACAAAGTTTAAAGGCACAAGCACCTGTTAATAATTGTTTCAGATTGAGGGCGCTGATGGCCTGGTGGTTTGTGGGGCTGTGGTCCTCCAGGTAGACGCCCTGGGTTCTAATCCGAACGATGTCTCTTTTTCCACATGGCATTCCCTGCTCTCTCTCTGTCCCTGATTTCTGACTCCATCCACTATCCTAGCTCTAATTAAAGGCATACAACACATGAGTAATTCAGGCCTCTCTCAAACAATCAAGAGACTTCTAAACAAGTCAAAGAACTTTAAAATCTCTCCTTAACACTCAGGGAGTCGGTGAAGGTGAGCTAAAACTGGGTGGATAGTTTGTCTCCCTTGCTCTATAAAAGCTTTCACAGCAGATTCTGAATTAATTGTGTTAATTGTTTTCAATTGTGTTAATTGGATTGTTTTGGACGACCGGTGAATAGAGCAGAACAATGGTCAAGTGTACTTGAAATAAAGTCATGATGAACAAGTTAGTCAACATCAGGTCGCTCATTATCACAAACTGAAACAAAAAAAAGGTCAAACTGGTAAAGGGAACTTGAACCGTGGAAGTGACGGACTATCAGAGCAGCATCTCATCCAAATGACCTTCTCTTGAACTTTAGGATATCAAGGGTTTTACTGTAACGAATGACAGAGTTGCAATCACAAATAAAAAACGGTGTCAGAAAAAAGAAAGGTGTATAAATGTGACTAAAATCACAGAACTTTTGTGCAACTTCAACACAAGGTTTACAAAAGCTTTACAGATTCCCATGCTGGAGTCTAAACGCCCTAATCATGAAGTGACCCTTTCTCCTTGAGATCATTCTCAGCTGCTCTCTCTCTCTCTCTCTCTCTCTGTCTCTGTCTCTGTCTCTGTCTCTCTCTCTCTCTCTCTCTGTCTCTGTGTGGACTCGCTGACAGCAGCTTTCATGTGTTCAGGAGTTTCTGTTTGAGCTTTCTTGTTGGGGCTCTGGTCTGTTTGCATTCCTCTTCAGGTAGAGCCGGTTGGACTGTCAGCTTCACAGCGAGGCCGCCTCCCTGCAGGAAACAAAACTCTCTCACCTGGCAACAGTTTGAGTCCCTGATAAGTCGTGAGAGATAGGAGACACATTTTTCCCTCAGCAAACACTGACACCACATTTAAAAAAATAAAATAAAAAAAAAACGATCCAACTAAAATGATGAGAATGTTTCAGAG